TTACGAATTTTTGGTTATGCCATTCGGAGTTACTTAACGCGCCAACGTTTCATGGATTTGATGAACCGCATTTTCAAGCCCTATTTGGATGAATTTGTGGTGGCTTCATTGATGATATTCTCATCTATTCGAAGAATGCAAGATGCTCACGAGAATCATCTTCGTTTGATCCTTCAAACCCTCCGAGAAAAGAAATTGTATGCAAAGCTTGAAGAAATGGTGAATTCTGGCTACTAGAGTGGCATTTCTGGGGCGCATATCATCATGAAGGAAGGAGTTTCTGTTGATTCCACACAAGATCGAAGCAATCGTTAAATTGGCCAACTCCTACTGATATGACGGAAGTACGTAGTTTTATGGGTTAGCTGGTTATTACAGAAGATTTGTTCAAGATTTTTCTAAAATGTTGTGCCATTTACACAACTAATACGAAAGGAGTTGCATTCGAATGGTCGAAGGGAACGAGAATCTGCTTTCCAGGAATTGAAAACAAGGTTGACAACAACACCAGTTCTGGCCCTACCATCCGGTACAGAGGGATTTGTAATCTACAGTGACGCTTCGCATAAAGGGCTTGGTTTGCGTACTTATGCAAAACGGAAGAGTCATCGGTTATGCATCTAGGCAGTTGAAACCCCATGAGAAGAATTATCCCACACATGATCTGGAGTTAGCAGCAGTAGTCTTTGCTTTAAAGATATGGAGACATTATTTGTACAGTAGCGCCTGTGAGGTATTACTGATCATAAAAGTCTCAAGTACTTTTTTTCTCAAAAAGAATTAAATATGCGGCAACGGTGGTGGTTGGAACTTCTGAAAGATTATGATCTGCACATTCACTACCATCCTGGTAAAGCCAACACAGTTGCAGATGCGCTCAGTCGGAAAAATATGGGGATTATGGCAGATATGGCAAGTATGGTTACAGAACAAAAGGACTTGGCAATTGAATTGGATAAGGTGGAATTGAACCTTGTGTTACATGGTCAAAAGGCTCTCATAGTAGCGATAGTAGCACAACCCACCTTTCTAGAAGAGATTAAAGTGCACCAAATGAAAGATGAAACTTTGAGGAAGATACATGATGAGTTCAAAACAAACCAAAACCGGGATTCGATGTAGTAGGTTCAGTGCTTAAATTTCAAAAACCGACTGTGTGTTCCCAATGTGATGAGTCTTAAACAAAAACTGATGGAAGATGCACATACCTCAAGGTTCTCAATGCATCTAGGAGTACTAAAATGTACCGAGATTTAAAGCAGAATTTCTGGTGGCCCAGTATGAAGAAGGAGATCGCGGAGTTTGTTTCTAAGTGTTTGCAATGCCAACAAGTAAAAGCGGAGCATCAAAGACCTGCTGGATTATTGCAACCTCTCCCCATCCCAGAATGGAAATGGGAACATTTGACCATGGATTTTTTTATGGGTTGCCACGGACTCCTCGAGGTATGAATTCAATTTGGGTCATTGTGGACCGATTAACTAAGTCCGCCCACTTTTTGCCGGTAAAAACTCAGTATAATGCAGACAAATTAGCAGGAATTTATGTAAATGAAATTGTGAGGCTTCATGGCATTCCGGTCTCAATTGTGTCAGACAGAGATCCTAAGTTTGTTTCTAGATTCTGGCAAAGTTTACAGGAAGCGATGGGTACAGAATTAAAGTTCAGCACGGCTTTCCACCCTCAGACCGACGGTCAATCCGAGAGGACGATACAGGACTCTTGAGGATATGCTCCGAATGTGTGTTGTACTAGATTTTCAAGAAAGTTGGGGAAACCATCTACCGTTGATAGAATTTGCGTATAATAATAGTTACCATTCGAGCATAGACATGGCACCTTATGAAGCTTTGTATGGAAGACCATGCCCATTCTCCCGTGTGCTGGGCTGAAGTTGGAGATAAATCCTTATTTAGGGCCTGAAATTGTTCAGTTGACCACTGAAAAAGTTCGCGTTATTCCGGAAAGGTTGACAACTGCTCAAAGTAGGCAGGAAAAGTTATGCTGATAACCGACGAGAGAGATTTGGAGTTTGACGTGGATAGCTATGTTTTTCGTGAAAGTCACTCCGATGAAAGGACACCCAAGATTCGGAAAGAAAGGTAAGTTGACACCCCGGTATGTCGGTCCTTTCAAATTCTGGAAAAAGTGGGTCCGGTAGCTTACCGAGTTTCCCTTCCACCACATATGAGTCAAGTGCATAACGTGTTTCATGTCTCTATGCTTCGTGGGTACCTTCCGGATCCGTCACATGTTATTGACTACCACCAAATTGAGTTGAATGACAAGTTGATTTATGAGGAGAGACCAATTCGCATTTTGGACTGACAAGTAAAACAACTACGAACCCGTGAGTTCCAATGGTAAAAGTTGAGTGGCAAGAACATTACGGGATCGACGCAACATGGGAAAGAGAGGAAGAAATGCAACACCAATACCCACACCTGTTCCAACCCTAAGGTAACCCAAGTTTGGAGGACCAAACTTATTTAAGGGGGGAGAGTGTAATAACCCGACCCTCGCACATGATTTCTGTTATATTCTTAGTCCTCGATTAGTACTTTTAAATGCTTACTGTTGTAGTTCCGTGAAAAAAATTATGATTAAGGAAGGAAGTGAAAATCCATGTCTACGAATGTCTATCTGTCTCACAAGAAAACCATCTGTCACCATTAACACGTTTAAATTAGAAATTGGAAGCCTTAACAGCTTAATTAGCTAAAATTGATTATATATCTGTGATCAGCATAATTTTTAGGTAATATTAAGCATGTTTGCGAAAATTTTTAATTTTGGAATGGTTAAACGATTCATTTTTTGTCTTATATGCCTTGTTTATATATACTTCCAAGACTTCATGAGCCTTAGTCAAAAAACACAAAAAACGTGAATACCATTTTGGGGGAGAAAAGAAGAGAAAGTGAAGAAGAGAAATCGGGAGAGGAGGGATTCAACAAGAAAGTTTGGCAAAATTGTAGGATTGAATCAAGATAAGCTCAAATCCTTCTTATTATGGCCACTTAGAGTTTGTAATTGCTGTGTATGTTGATTCATGTCTAATTCATGCTTGATTAATGAGGGTTTCTCTCAATTGGTTTCTTAGGCATCTAGATTGGGGTGTGTAGAAATTATACTTCAATCTGTGGTTTTCTATCATCACTTCATGGAATTATGCATATATCATGGTGTTATGTTTCAAGGATATGAAGAACTTGAATCCAAGAATGGAATTAGAGAGAGAGATGCTTGTTGAAGCTTTTAATCTTGGTTAATTTATTATACTCAAGGTAGAATCCATGTTATAGTGATGTTAGGTGGGAATATTGCATTAACCTAACCTTGGGTTGCATGTAAAAATGGAGTGAATACTAGGTTGGGACTCGAATGGAGGTTCAGAATTTCAGAATCTGCTCGGTCCGCTCGAGCGGCGGAAAGTCCGCTCGAGCGGGGAAACCACCTCTCAGCAGTTTTGTGCATTTTACAGTCCGCTCGAGCGCCAAAGTGGCGCTCGAGCGGGGGACTCTTTTTCAAGAAAAATTAAATGTCGGTTCAGTTTTAAGTGCTTGTCTCTCTGGTATTTTTAGAATATTTTATAGATGATTTAAAGCGGTTGTAAATGCATGCAAGGTGTACGACTCAGGAAAAGAAAAACTAATGTATTAATTGGGTGCAGGGCACATTCCAGAAGGAAGCAACACGCCACCTCAACACTGTGAGTAGTAGTACCTATGTAATGTTATGCAATTATGTCAATGTTTCAAGGCATGTAAGGCAATTATGTTAATGCCCAAGCATGTAATGTACTTATGCATGTTTAAGATATGCTAATGGTAAAACATGTAAAGAAAAGCATTTACAAAGGCCTCGTGCCACAAGTTTCAAGTGTATTTCAAGGGCCTCGTGCCACAAGTTTCAAGTGTATTTCAAGGGCCTCGTGCCAAAGTTTCAAGTGTATTTCAAAGGCCTCGTGCCACAAGTTTCAAGTGAATTGCAAGGGGCTTCGTGCCATCACGTTTCAAGGGCTTCGTGCCATCACGTTTCAAGGGCTTATAGCCACATGTTTATGTCACAAGATTAGGCCTAGGACCATTAAGAACTAAACACAGAATCAGACACACCAAGTGCATGCTGCATCTTTTATGTATTGATGTATTACTACTCATTGAGCCCGGCTCACTCTCTATTTTGTCTGTTTCTGTAGGTCATCATTCAGGGGGTCAATCCTAACTTTGACGCCGTCCCTTCTGTCAACTCTTACATGTCCAGGCACCATACCAGGCCATTTATCTTTATGAACTGCTAAGATATGGGGTTTACTTTTGAGAACCATCTACGGATGTTGTACATAACTTTCATATTCCTTTTGTTATGCCCAATTATCGGGCTAGGACTGTAAATGTATATGTTGTACGCGATATCTAGGGCTATAGTTCTAAACTTTGTCCGCTTTTGACGATATATGTAATGCATGAGATCCTGGCATGTTAGAAATAGCTCAATGGAGTATGCTTGTATTTATGTTATATGAATATTTTTATGCTTCCGATAAGGCCCCGCACGGCATGTACATCAGTTTTTTGTCCGTGTTTTTGCATAGGTCATGCCCGAACCTTTAGGGGCGGGTTGCTGGGGCGTGACAGTGGTATCAGAGCACGAGTTGCTATCTCACACACGGATCCATTGAGCTGTAGGGTGTCTAGAAAAGCTTTAGGCCTCATGCATGACATCCTAATAAGACAAGTTCGATGGCAACATTAAGTGCACTCTGATGATGTTAACCATGTTGCATTATGTCTATAGTATTTGATTAATTGTTGTGTAGATCATGGTGAGAACAAGGACAGAAGACGCGGAAGATGCCACCTCAGCACGACTGGATAGGATGGAAAGGATGCTTATGGAACTGGCAGAGACTTTACAGCAACAACAGCAACAGCCT